GGCTGCCCCGCGCCGCCCGCGCGCGGGCTCGGGGAGGCGCCGGTGAGTGCGGGGCAGGAGCGCAGGCCGGGCTCGACCGTGGCCGTGGTGCCCCCGCCCCTGAGCGAGCTGAGCCGCGGCGGCATCTCGCAGTGGGCCAGGTCTGCGTTCACCTTGCACCCTCAGGGCCCGCCTGTGCTAGCGCTGCTCGCTGGCTTCGTCCCTGTCTAGTGCCAGCAGAGGTGCTGCTGTGGCCACCGTGTCCTGTGACATGGCACTCGCAGGCCTCTGCTTGTCCTGGCAGTGCCTTTCCCTGAGACACCTGGGTGGTGTTTGCCTCTCACTGCTTCATTGCTCTGGGGGCCTGATGTATCCCCATTTTCTTCTGTCACTTGCAGCTGATTAGTCCCACCGGTGATAGCAAGTGTTCTTGGCTGGGAGAAGCAGGACAGTGCTCCTGGTCCCTGTCTGATGGTCACAAACTCTGCTGTCTGCTTGGTTCAGCTCCTTACGAAAAGCTCCGGTCCTTGCAGATGTTGTACTTCTGCCGTGAGAGCCTCTGTCAGGGCAGCCCCCAGATGTGTGTAGCCCTGCCCTGAGGGCTCCTGTCTATGACATCTTTGTAATAGAAATAGATCTTCCCAGTTTTCTGTTTACTGTTGATTTTATTGCCTGATTTGATTCCCCATGCCCGTCCTCTATTATCTATGCCTTTTTCACTCTTTCCATTCTTCTTCCTGCTATGCGTCCTTGAATACTTGTCTGTTTTAGGCAGTCACTAACTGCTTGTCCCCAAATTTTAATTTTCTTCTCCAAAATGTGTCACTAAGGACTCTAATCACACCAGTCTTCTGAGGCTGTTATAACTAGGTTAAAGCCCACATGCTCTGGGCTACATTTGTGCTCGGGTGAAAGCGCTAGGTCAGTCCTAATTGTGATGGTGCTTGGATTCACCTGCACAGGTTGTTGTTAAACCTCACTGTTTCATAGTGCAGAAGATCTTAATGTAAGGAACTGATGCTTGAAGTTAGTAGGTACACTATGGCCAGCAGTAGAAAGTGAGATGACCACACACCACCCTTGTAAGTTGCATGGTTCTCTTGGACTGTGCACTTACGTGTTCACTCGCTTATCCTTGTGAATGCACGGATGGGCTCATATTGTGAATATGTAGCTTTTAAGTGCAAATAAAGATTGAGCTACAGCTTGAACACTGAATTCTCTCCAGGCTTAGTGTCATATAAGTGTAGGCTCTTAGTATGACTCCCCGTGGTCCAGGTTCCATTATTCTCTATTTGAATCTCCTTCCTAGAGGGGTTAGAGTTCAGCCAAATTTTTCATATTTGTACTCTGAAGTAAATTCCTAATATTTCTTGTAACATTTAGCCTAGCAGTTAATAATGATAACGAGAGTCAATGCATTGTTTCCTGGGTTATAGGTGGAGCTTGGATATATTTCTTCACTGTTTTCTTCCTGATCCGGCTCTTTATGCTGGGGATTTGTCCACTGTATGTTGTTTGAGATGCCAGCATTTTCCTGGCGTAGTAGAGTAGATGGCCAATCTGTAGCATCTGTCTGAATTGCCCTGACTTGATTAGTTCATTTATATGTTTGGTCTTTCCAGAGGACTGGTCTTTTACTGTAACCTGTATGCTAGCAATAAGCATTATAGTTCTCTTCCACTAGGATCAAAACAGTAGAAGTTTCCCTTCCTCATCTGATCTGAAATCTGTGCAGATAAATAGTATTTACAGTCCCACCCTCTTCTCCACCCTTTCCACAAGCACAATGAAGAGGGAGTGCCACAGCAAGATGCATCTTGATCTGCCTCAGGCTCCTGGCCCTGTCCAGGTCCCATTCAGCTGAAACATTAGAGGCTTTCAGCAGGTTCTGCTAGCTAATGGGATAGTTTTGTAAAAGTGACAAAATCACAGGGGAGAAAAGGACAACAGCTAGGAGGCCTGGTGGGAGTGCTGCTGCTTATGAACTTAGGAAATCCAGAGGGGGGTTTCTTTTTAACATTATTATAAAAACATGCTTAGGAGCTATTATACCTGCAGAAGCTGCAGGCAGGGCTTATAGCCCTCAACAGCGAAGTAGCTGCACATGTAACTTGTTTGTTCTGGCTCTGCCTGGCAGATTAAAAAAAAGAAAGGTGTTACAAGGCTCTCATTCATGCTCCAGCTTTGCAGACCGAGCTGTTGGCCAGTGTCAGCTTCCTGTAGAGTGGCAGTGCTGAGGATTGCACTTCAACTTAGAGCTTCACAAGCACTGGCTCTTGGCTCATTTCTCCCTTTAGCATCTCTGGCATTAGTGCAGCTTGCAAAGTCAAAGGAACAGAAGCATAGTCCAGAACTTTCTTGGGGACTTAATATCTTTGGTATTTATGTAGAAGCAGAGATGGGGCTTGCAGTCTGGATTCTGATCTGCTTTGCATATAGTCCATAAGGGTCTATCTGCAGAGTAATGAGATTTGGTTGAATAAAGAAAAATAAGATGTTTGCTACTCTGTTTGGAAGAAAAGAATTTGGAATGTAATTGAGTGCTTATCCTCTTTGTTTCTATGCTTTACGTGTGCAGGGGCTGGTAAGTGACACTTAAATCAATCTTTGGGGTGATATCTTTTTAAAGTATCATTTTAGCATATTAGTTGGCAAACATATGCTGAAACCCTCCCCACTAGGTTATACCTGCTTAAAATGCCATGGTTGTAATACATTGTAAGAAAAATTTAGTGTTGAAACCAGGAATGGCCTGTGGCTGCAAGGCCTGCACATATTAATGCAGTTGCATTCAAAAGTACTGCCCAGTTCTTGTGTCCTCCTGGAGCCTAGGCCAGAAGAACAGTTTGCATGAACCTCCATATAAATACAAGAAGAACTTACTCTTAAGCTGTGATGCTAACTATTATGCAGCTGCTTACAAAATAATTCCGTTTTCTGAGGGTCCTGCTTGGTGAGATTGGGGCATAGGCCTGTGGAGGCACTTATGCCTATACTAATAAGATAAGGGTTGTATATTATTCCTCCAGAGTACATGTACAGCTTTGTGTCAGGGATGGCACGTGGTAGTTGCATGCCCATCTCCTGGATCCTGCAGTGCTGGGCGTGTTGATCAATTTATTTTCCAATCAACTTGTTTCAGAGTGAGCGGGAGAAGCAGGAGAGAATTGAAGTTCAAAAGGAAAAGCAGCGAGAGCTGATCCTACAGCTCAAGACACAATTGGATGACTTGGAGACCTTTGCTTACCAAGAGGGCAGTTATGATTCCCTGCCACAGTCTGTGGTCATGGAAAGACAGCGGGTAAGTCCTCTAACTCTTTCTGCTCATGCCACTCTTCTCCTTGGCATGCACGAGCCTCTGATGTGGCCAGCCCTTAACTTGCCAACTATAAAACAACCATTGTGGATGCATTAGTTTTTCTGTATGCTTGTATGTAATCCGTAGGGACTACTTGCACGTACAGTATACCCATTGATTTGCCACTCCAAAGGGAATGCAGATAATGGTGAATTGTCCAGTGGTGGCAATTATTAGATGATAATGGCAGCTGCAGGTTGGTGCTGGTGGAGAATCAGAACAACAGTTAATTAACCCATAGCAGGAAATAACTGTGTTTTCCACTGTATAAAACAGTTATTTCTGTAAAGAAGAGGTCTAAAAGTAAGATGCAACTTTATACATTGAAGTTGCAGAACAAAAATAATTGAAATTGGGTACTAGTAGTTTGAAGATTACGTTAATCTTGTCTTGGTAGTCAGCCCCTGGGTACAACAGAACCCCAAGATACTAGTGCGATATGGCAGGTTCAGCTAGGAAAAAGTGAGGGGAAGGGGTGTGTGTAACATTATCCACCTCTACATGTCAAGTGCCTCCAGTGCATTAGAGGGGGTGGGTCCTGTCATGCTGTTCCCTTGTCTCAAGGAGAAGGGGTGGAAGGCCCACCTTCCCTTGTCCCTTCCGGACTGACCCCTGCAGATCACCATCAGTCCATCCCTTTGGAAATGCTGTATTGTGGTCCCTTTTCTTTCTCATGTGGTCTGGGGAAAGCTACATTTGTAGGATCAGGACCCTCAGGCCATTCCCATTTTTGTGTTCTCTGACTTCCTGCCAGCCTCCCTATCTTGTGGATGCAGCCTTTTCTAGCGGGTGCTGTCAAGGCAGGACCTCCCTGGTGGCCTACTGCATTGTCACATTTGTTATAGAATTTTTCCATAACTTTATACTGGAGGAGGGGTGTTTTGCACACCCAGACAATACAGTATCCTGTGGGAAAATTAACCAGAGTTTATTGTATGGTTAGTCATTATAGCATAGGCTGGAATAATCTTCCCCCTTCCCTCTTCCCCTCCCCAAAGAAGTGAGTGAGTGTGTGAACATAGCATTTTGGTTCACCAGGATGCATGGTGAGACTGTGCAGTTCACTGCCTGCTGTGTTTTGCAGGTGATTATAGATGAGTTGATAAAGAAGTTGGATATGAACCTGAACGACGATATTGCATCGTTGTCCCCGGATGAGCTGCGTCACCGGGTGGATGCTGCTATTGCACAGATTGTCAATCCAGCAAGGGTGAAGGAGCAACTAGTGGAACAGCTTAAGACGCAAATACGGGACCTTGAGATGTTCATCAACTTCATTCAGGGTCAGTGGCATGTTTTGCATGGGAAAGTGAATGGATTGCGCCATATCAGGGCACAGATTGGCTTGAGGTGGAGGGGAGGAGGAGGACAACAGATCTCATTGCAACAGAATCTGGACTTTTAGGTCATGCAGAGCACCCCAGAACTGTGAGAGAGAGGAGACAGCGCAGGGAAAACCTAGGACACTGACAGGCAGGCCAGTCCCCTGTGCACAAAGTGGTGTATGGCAATCATAACGTCTGTAGCTTGGGATATGTAGCTTAAATCTTACAGCAGATGTAGAGAGGCAAAATAACCAGCTGTAGTGGATTCTTTGTTTTAGATGAAGTTGGAAGTCCTGGCAAGCTAGAAGATGGACACTGTGAATGCTCAGGCAAGACAGCTGCAAGTAGCTCCTATAAACCAAATAGCAGGCTGCCTCCTGGGAATAACAGAGGTAAGCATTTTATAGACTTTAGACTCCTCTGGGCTTGTTTTGTTTTGGGGGTTTTGTTTTTTGATGACTATTCAGGTGACAGCTGGCTGCTTTCCCCTGTGGGTGATGGTTTCCCTTCCTTTTCACTGACCCAGACAAAATGTTAAAATGCTTTCTCAGTGGGGTACTCATGGAAATGAGGGTCTTTTGATAACAAGCCAGCAGCGCACAATGCAAGCAAGTGCTGTGCAGTCTTCTCTCATGCTGCAACCTTGGCCTGCACTACAGCTACTGTTCAGGTTCAGGAGAGACCACTGGCTGGGTGGAGTTAAGTCCTATGAGATTGGGATTTAGCCACTTATTGAAACTCATGTATTGAAACACTTACTGGAACTTATGACATGAACTTTATTGGATCTCAGGTTCTGGGGTGAGCAAGCCAGCTAACCCTGAGACCACTCAGTCCTTGAAAATAACTAGAAATCTCCCACAGAAAGCTCCTGTCACCTTAACATTACTCACCTGATACTATAGAATCTGCAGTACCCTTTTCCCCTGACTAGATTCCTCTACCTTCAGGGGTCTTTGGCCACTGGTGCTTGTTTGGTGAGTAGTCATTGTAGGGATCCTTCTCTGCCATGTAATTTAAGACGGACGTTGCAGTTTGAGAATGGGGCATAGTCTGATGCTGTGTTCTCCAGATTGCATGAGGACTGTAAAGTTCTAGCTTGCTTTATTTACCCAGCCAAAAACCCTGGAGTAGAAGCCCAGTAATAAAGTAGGTGTGGGTGGTTCAGCTCCCTGTATATATGCGAACAGAAAGAAATCAGATTCTCTAATGACAGCACTTTTCTTTTTTTTTCCCCCTCTAACTGACCAGTGCACCCCGAGGATGCCAGAAAGATGAGAGAAACAGGTCTGCATCTCATGCGGCGCATGCTTGCTGTGCTGCAGATATTTGCTGTCAGTCAGTTTGGTTGTGCTACGGGTCAGATACCCCGCACCCTCTGGCAGAAGGACCAAGCTAATAAAGACTATTCTCCTTTAATTAAGAGACTGGAGCTGTCTGTAGACAAAGTGAAGCAGCTGATATTGAAGCACCAGCAGCAGGACCATGTTGTCAGCTATTCCAGCATGCAGGATGTTCCCTTAGGAGGGCGAGATGAGCTGACTTTGGCTGTGCGGAAGGAGCTGACCATTGCTTTACGAGACCTTCTGGCTCATGGGCTCTATGCTTCTTCTCAAGGGATGAGCTTGGTGTTGGCACCCATTGCGTGTTTGATTCCTGCCTTTACTTCATCACCACAGACCATGCACCCATGGGAGCTCTTTGTTAAGTATTACAATACCAAGAACGGTCGCGCCTTTGTGGAGTCCCCAGCTCGTAAACTCTCCCAGTCCTTTGCCCTGCCTGTGACAGGAGGTGTTGCTGCGACCCCCAAGCAGAGCCTGCTGACAGCTATTCACACTGTCCTCACAGAACATGATCCCTTCAAACGCAGTGCAGACTCTGAACTGAAGGCCTTGGTGTGTATGGCTTTAAATGAGCAGCGCTTGGTGTCCTGGGTGAACCTCATCTGCAAATCTGGGGTTCTGATACAGTCTCACTACCAGCCCTGGAGCTACATGGCCAACACAGGCTTTGAGAGTGCACTCAATATTCTCAGTCGCCTGAGCAACTCCAAGTTCAACCTCCCTGTGGATTTGGCTGTCCGGCAGCTGAAAAACATCAAAGATGCTTTTTGACATGTCCTTTACAGATCAGTCCCCACCTCCTCTTAGTAGGCAGCTATTGATCTCAAGGACCCTTTTTCTTAAGACCAAGCTTGGTTCATTTGAGGATGATCTTAAATTTTACTTGAGTGTCTCAAATACTTGAGTACTTGAATGTCTCAACACTGGAAACCTTCACTGTTCGATTGCCTGTGAGGAAATGCTGCTGACTTTTAGGTTGAGCATCCTACCCCTCAAACCTGTGCTCATTCAGCTCTCAAGTCAGTGAAGCTGCTACAGCCATTTGCACAGGGTCTACCAACTATCATGTGCCAGAAATGAGGAGCTGCCTGAAATGTAATAAACAAGAGCCTGATTATACAGCCAGTGCATAGGAGCAAATTTTTTTGTGGGTTTTTTTTTGTGTGGCTTTTTTTTCAGAAGCAACACCTATGCAGCACTTGCACAGTGCGCCCTCACAATTTTTAGACTAAAGTGGGGATTTTCAACCTTTTTGGATCAGTGTATCCCCAGCGGCTGGATGCGGCGCAGTGTACCCCTGGCGGCAACATGGGGCGGGGGTGGGGAGCGTGGCACGTGGCCAGATGTGGAGTAGTGGCAACCATCATGTGCAAGCTTCCCCCACCTCCCGTGTTTGGGCAGGCAGTGTCTGCGCAGCAGTACAGGATGGTGCATGGCGGCATTCCATCCCTACCCACTGGCATGTACCCCCTAGGGCCTTCTCATGTACCCCTGGGGGTACACTTACCCCTGGTTAACCCCTGGACTAAAAGATACCATTTGTAGCATTTTGCTATTCAGTGAAGGGGGGAAGGAGGTTGTGAAATAGTTTTAACAAACACCTTGTTGCATCTGCTGCTTAAACTTGATGCAACCTGGACTGACATTCCATCTCCTCTATTTATGTATATTATTGATTAAATGTATAAGAGGTCTGGGCTAACATGGTTATTTGGGTAAATGTGATATCTTTTATTAGACAAACTGAATAGTTGGAAAAATTGTTCTTTGCACCTTTCAGGCACAGGTGCCCTTCAGGCATAGGGAGAGCGTGCTGGTTTTCTCTGTAGGATCTGAATAGAAGCTTAAGCCAGTACTCAAAATGCAAGTCTGTAAAAATGCAAGTGCATAGCTGGGAAGATCAAAGGGGACAGGAGTGAATAGGTGTGGGATAGGGGGTGGGCAACAGAAGAAGGGAATGCCAACAGATGATAAAATGCAGCTGGGAAAATACAGAGAGTTTACCTGGGGTTATTGGGTGGCAGGCAGGTTATAATGTGCCATAAATCCAATGTCTACATTTAGTCCATTACTTTTTGTATCCAGTAGACTTACAAGTGCTTTGTAAATTCCCTCTGAGGATTGGAGAGAGAGTGGCTATCTTATGAGAAATGTGCACCCACAGATAATTGGGTATTTTTGTCTTTTACAGATTCTTGGTGTGTGTTCATTCTCATATGCAGTTGTTTGGTTTATTTTATGTAGCTTCCATCTGGACATTTAATGCACTGGATGAGATGTACAGGCAGCCCTCGACTTACGTTTTGAGTTACAACGTTCTGCACTTACAATGTTTATAAATTGACACAGTTTCAACTTTCTGACGCCAGTTTCAACTTTACAATACTTGATCTGATGCCAAGCCACACCAGCAAACCAGTTCTCTGCATCACTCATATCCCTGGAGAACATCTGTCCAAACTTCATTGGATACTTTCTTTAAGAAAGCAGCCAGGACTCCAGAAAAACCTCCAGCCAAGAACCCTTCAAAAAGTCCAACCAAGAGCCCTTGAAAACATATCCAGTAAAGTCTCCTCAAAGAAGTCCTTCCAAATCAATATGATTGCTATTTACAATATAAATGCATTGATGTAGCAATTTTACTTATCTCTAATTGATTGAGTACAAAATTCTGGAGTATTATTGGTGAAAATTAGGGTATTGGGCCTTGGTTCAGGAGCCAACCACGATTTATAACATTGTTTCCTATGGGAAAAATCAGTTCTGAGTTAAGTCAAAATGTTGTAAGACGTGGTTTTCAGGAACCAATTGTCATAAGTCTGAGGACTGCCTGTATTACATTTCTGGAGGTGCCAGGTGCACCTCCCGCAACAGCTCAGAGCCTGTATGCCCTGCAGCTCCTCCCAGCCACCACCAACAGCGCACAGCCCCAACCCTGGTCCGCCTCGTGCCCGCTCTGGACTTGGTCCGATGGACCAGCTGAAACCTGTGTGCATGGCCCTGACCCTCCCCCCCGGCCTGTCCTGTGCCTGCTCTAGACCACCTGCCTGTGCTGAACAGTGGCCAGGCACAAGCTGCTGCTGCTCTGCAAGGTGTGGGGGAGGGAGTGGCTCCTTCCTCTCACTGCTGCCAGACCCTTTTTGCTGTAGCTGCCTGGAGGTATGTCACCAATTTACTCAAATTTAGGTCACTCCAGTTTATCCAAATTGACCAAATGACATCAGTCACGACCACCCAATGATGTTGAAAGACCAGCAAAAACATTGCTTATAGTAACAATGTGACTCCACTAATACCCTGCTTTACCTAAAGTGGAGCTTTTTGACAACTATAGTGGTGCAGGCTCCTACCCTGGGGGTTTTTAAGAAGAGGTTAGATGAACACCTTGCTGGGGTCGTTTGACCCCAGTACTCTTTCCTGCCATGGCAGGGGGTTGGACTAGATGATCTTCTCAGGTCCCTTCCAACCCTAGAAACTATGAAACTATGAATGGGGGAAAGGGGAGAGCAGGCCATGGGGGCATACTGCCTCGCAACAGCCCAGAGACCATGTGCTTTGATGCTCCTGGCCCCTGCCAACAATGCACAGCCCCTGCCTGCCCCACACCTGCTCCAGACTCTCCCTGGCCGGGGCGGACAAGCTGGAACCTGCGCTCACAGCTCTGACCCTAGCCTACCCTGTGCCTACTTCAGACCACCCACCCATGCTGAGCAGAGGCAGTGGCTGGCACAAGCTGCTGCTTGATGTGGGGAAAAGCGGCTCCACCCCCGTACCACTGTTGAGCCCTTTTTGCTGCAGCTACCTGGAGTCTGCACCTGGGCTGTCTTGTAGCTTTTCTCTGCCACTGTCACTGATGCCTCTGGGCTACTCAGTGGGGCAGTGGTACTAGTGCAGAGGTGCTGCAGATCAGCCCTGGTGCAAGCTCTGGGCAGCTGCAGCAAGAAGGGCCCAGCAGCAGTGAAGGGAAGTGGCTGTTTCTGTCCGACCAATGCTGCTGTGGCTGTTGCTCAGCATAGGCAGGTGAGTTTGGAGCAGATGCAGGGCAGGCTGGGGTCAGGACCGTGCACATGGATTCCAGTTAGTCCAGAGTTGGTCTGCTGTGCTGGGCCAAGTCCAGAGTGGGCACAAGGCAGGCTATGGTTGGGGCCAGTCAGTACCATGGGGCTGGGGCCAGTGGCGGCAGCAGTCAGAAGGAGCTGCTGCTACCTGGGCTGCCTAGAAAGGCAGTTTAGCTGTGGAACTGCCCTGACCCCACAGCATGTCCAGGGGGTGGTCAGATACGCCATGAGCTGGACAGCACTTGGGTCAGGAGGAGCTGAGGGACCCACTGTGGGCTGGACAAAGTCCTTCCACAAGCCATATTTTGCCCACCCCAGTCTAGATCCATTCAGTGTGCTTTGGGCCATAGGAAGTTTGCTTCTGGTGGCAAGGTTCAGTGCCTGTTTGAAAGCTAGGATAGGTGGTTCTGGAAAGATATTTTTAAGAATTGGGTCTTCTAGTATGGGTTGTAATTGAGGATTTTCTGTATAATTTCCAGGGGAAGGTGGCATGTCATAACTAATGGTGTGTGGTTCATAGGGACTTTCTTTTTGTGCTGCAGCAATTCCTCACATGGTATCTGGGTGGCTCTTTCAAAAGTGGGATCTGTGTCTCTGGAGGAGTGTCCTTGTCGAGTGAAAGCCCTTTTGAGATTTGTGTGGTGACAATTGTGAGTGCTTTCATCAGTGCAAACTCGGTGGTATCAGAGGGCTAAGCTGTATATTACAGCTTTCTTGGTATATTTAAGGTGAATGCTGGTTCTCTGTAGATATGTATGTTGGTCCACGTGTTGTATATGGTGGTTTGTATTTCGCCATTCTGGATATTGACTGTAGTATCTAAAAAGGAAATGCTTGTGCTGGAGTATTCCAGACAGTCTGATGGAGGGGTGATGATTATTAAATTTGTGATGGAAATCAGTTGGAGATTCCAGGTTTTCAGTCCAAATTATAAAGAGGTCATTTATATATCTTAGGTGTAGCATAGGTTTGGTGCAGTTCTTGAGGAATTCTTTCAGGTAGCCCATAAAAAAGTTGGCTTATTGTGGGGCCATTTTGGTGCCCATAGCTGTACCCATGGTCTGGAGAAAGTATTGGTTATTGGAAGTGAAGTTGTGAGAGAGAATGAAGTGTATACATTCAGTAATATCTTTGGGTCTGTACTCTGAGTTGTAATCTTGCTCCTGTAAATATGTAAGGCAGGCTTGGATGCTATCCTGATGTGAGATGTTGGTATATAAGCTGGTAATATCCATGACGGCTAGGAGGGTTTTGCTGTGAAGGTGTTTTATAAGTTTTTGTAGAAAGTTTGTTGCGTCTTGGCCAAAACGTGCTCTTTGGGTGACAAGGTTTTAGGATGGATTCAGTGAAACCTGATATTTCCTCAGTAAGGGTTCCATGATTGGATATTATTCCATAGTTGGATATTAAGAGGTCTGGGAGTAATTTTTGCTCTAAGGCTTGATTGCTGCTGTTCTTGTAGGATTAGTGGCTACAGAAATCCACACAAATATAGGGATGTTCTTCAGGTTCTATGGTGAACAGGATGAAGCATTCAGGTATTTTGTATAAGCATCTGAACTCTTGCCTGAAGCCTTGGCTGAATGCCTAGTACACTATTAGTCCAGGGCTTCATAGCAGATGCATCAATTGCTTTAGCGTATGTAAACAATTAATATTTTTTTCAGTTACCTTGAGCTAAGTGGCATATATGATGCAGGAATACTTGTTCACGTTGCTTTTTACAAAATTATGATAGGTGTAGAATTTTAATATTCTCAGTACAATTGCTGATTATGCTTGGTGATTATGCTGCTGCATAACAGCGCTTTCTGTTTATCTGAGGGTTAAATTACCTTTGGTGTAGCTAATTCTGCACTCAGATCAGTTGGTGTTTTTGAGGGGACTTAATCACTTGGCTTTTAGACTGCATATGAGAAGTCATTCCTAGCATCAAAAACAAACAAACAAAAAATGCTGAGGGTAGAGCTTGGGGTGGTTTAGTTCAGTGCTTCTCAGCCTTTTTGTACCAGGATCCATTTGTAAACATTGATGGCCAGTCCTCACCCAGTAAATAGTTTAAGTAGAAA